ACGGGATGGCAATCGCACCGTCAGCCTGTCCTCTTCTCCGATTCAGGTGTGTATAATCCTCCGAGCCGCGTGTTTCCACGGCGGCACAACCGTGGTCCAGTTGCCTAGCAATAATCATGCTTGGTGCCGGTCGTGCTTGCTGCCAGGCAGCTTCATAATCAGAACGGCGTGCTCTTTTCCCCGAGCAGATTTACTTTATGAGAAGATTACCCGCGCAGCATAACGGTGGTTCGTTCGTTCGCCCATCGGTCCGTCCCACTGTCCTAGTACACGCGCGTTATACCACTCCTCAATGAGGCCTGCTTCTCTATGGCTTTTCTATGCGGATACGTTCTCCAGCAAAGTGCGGGGCGGTATAAGGTGCATTGGGAGTCCGTCACATGATCGTAGTAGAAGCTATGTGGCATGTATTATGTGATCCATAATATAAACAGTATGTCTGCCTTCCGCTTTGGTTTGGGTAAGTGGCTCGTAAAAGAGTCAGTCGTTAATCATCTCCCTTAGCGCTGCGTTCTTGAAAAGAAAACAACAGCGAGGAGTATATTCAGTAGAAGGAATGTCCTAAAGAAGGTCGAGGAGCAGCAGGTAGGCTGATAAATGGAGAACGGACAGCTGTCGTACAGGTGCGATGGCTGAAAGGCTGTTAGACAAATAATAGAAAGGCGTTAGTAACTCAATATAAAGCTGCAAGAGATTAATAGAAAAAGTAACCGCCAGGACGAGGTAATAATTGCGAAAGCTTTAGTTTCACAGTGTGTGCTAGCAGATTTGACAGTATGTTTGATACATGTTCACACACATAAAACGGCCACCTTCGAATCAAGGTCTGAAGCTATTCACGCGTTGCAATCCATCTGAATATTTCTGAAATAACCCGATTAGTTTATTAGGGATGATCTTAATCATTATTACGGGTCATTCGAAAGCTTCTGCACGCGGTAGACGGCTGTAAGACATTTCAACATTTAATTGAGATGTCAGATTAAAAAATAGTTTGGGAATCAGTAAGTGCGCATGAGAACATCTCCAATTATAGTCATACTTAATACTGACAAATCAATAGGTAAAAAAGCGAAATTTTCTGGGTTTCAATCAGTACCAAGGCCATCTACGTTGTCTCATGGCCAGAAACGTTGACGAGGCTAACTTAATATATTTCCCTAAGATTTAGATCGGCATCAAAGGGTGCTCGTTTCCGTAAAATGTTGGATTGCGTTGAATAAATCAATTCTAGGTGTAATAAAAATATATAGATGAACATTATCATTTACGTCACAGTCGCAGGGTAAATTCTAATCACGAATTGTTGTTTAAAATTTTTCTGGAAAATCCTTTTCAAACGTCAACGATATCGCAGAAATTAATATGTATGACCGAACATCTTCGAGAGAAGCTTCAAATAGCTCTGACATACTTCATAACATCTTTCAATGGCGACGCTCCATAACGCAATATAAGGCATCATAATAGCTTGCATATCTCGAGAAATGCCATTAACGGCTGCAGGCGTACTGATTGCCTGCTTATATGTACCACTGCATACGTTATGATAAAATAGGGAAAAACTTACATTGGAATAGACAGACAAGTTGCTTCCCTTGAATAAAACGTATCTACGGATGGGAACGACTAGTAATAGTTTAGTGTTGCTATATACTTAGTGAATATTTCAGTTTCCGTGAAACTGTCCTTCAAGTTTCTTACAGACCGACGGTTGCTATATTACAAGACAAATTACCAGCAGCGTCACAGGCCATGATACTCAAATACTCGTGAATCTAGTGCCATCGTAATGAAAAATAATTTGAAGACTTGTCCCTGTCAATAATGTAGTGATACTTTTACTTTTATACTAAACAGCTGTGTGGGTCGTACCTTTTACGTACATGCTACAGCAAGCTATTAGGTGACGAAACTGAATATGTATGATATTAATGTAGTCTTACTGCTAAACCATTCTTATATAAGTCTAACATTGGATTAGAGCTTTCGTTTACAGATCTGCCCCCCAGCCCCCTCTACCCCAGCCCGCAGGGCACACGGCGATTTTACGTAGAGCCGGCTGATTAAACGTATCAGTTAAATCCACGCTATACAGTAGTATGTGTTCTGCATACAAATGATCATCTGGAAAAATTAATTGGTAATGGTGCCTTTGCCTTATCTACGGTAGGTTGATGCGCTTCTCCATGGCCAAAAATCTTCTTCCAACCTTCCAAAAACCTCAAGCCAGTCGAGGTTCGCCCCTCTTGAATAACCCTAAACCTTGCTACCTCCCAGGGTATATTTCACCGTTCATTCTTGCCTGTGCCTGTTGTAGTGCCAACCGGCTCTATAGATTAGCTATCTATTAAATCCACTTGATTTTTTTTGCCAGAATTTTCTAAAACTGCCTTGACAAAACAGGTCTACTTTTCTTCCTGCACTATACGTATTTGAATCTTTGGGTAAAATCGATCTAAATGGAACATTTAGAAACTGGTAAGTTGATAAAAAATAACAAGTGTTAAAGCTAAATAAGATACTCTCACATGAACTTCGGCAGCTGTAATAAATAATTTGCGTCAGTTCATCGTGGCCTTTTGCTAACTCGAGAAAAAAAACTTTGTGGTTTTTTTTTTTACAGCACTGTATCTATAAAAGGCTTTATAATAATAAAGGACACGTTTTCCATTCCGTGACTTGATTCAGGTTTACGCTCGCAGTTAGGGTTACATCAGTAGTAGCATTTGCATGCAATTCTCCAAGAACTTACGGTTCGTTTCCATAACAAGACTATAAAGCGCTCCAAACCAATTTAAAGTATACCACCTCTAAAGCTGCAAGTCTAAAAAAAATGATTATTGTAAATTGTTAGCGTTCGTTTCACGACTACTGCAATTCCGCTCCAGCTACTCCTGTAGTTGCTAGGTTTCTTCGACGTGCGTCTGTCTGCGCCTCTGTGCGAATAGGCGTGCATGTGGGCGCGTTCATAAGGTTGACGAATTCCATTCTCGGTGTTACTACCCCGTGTTACTGGTGGCCCTTTTCTCAGTCACATCACTCGTGGAGACGCGAAACATGGGGCGGTCAGCTGAAGTCGTTACCGGCTTGTTCCGAGTTGTTTTACTTCTACTCGACGTAGACAACGAATTTGCTCCGTCTTCGACATTCCCCAATGCACCTTCTCGGTTTATCGGCCACGCAGTCTTACTCTGTTTCATTCCACGCGTCTTGTATCGGTCGCGGGAAGACGGCATCAGCTGTACGTGTAAAGCCAATGTATGGACTATGGGCTACTATCTGTATGCTACGTACCTCCTAGAAGAAATCGGTAGTATATATATACACTTTTAAATCGACCTTTGTAGGTAATGGCCAGCGAAGTATTTATAGTGGCATCTTTTTAAACACGCGTGAGGTAAAAATTTTTTTCGTTCACCGGAAGTAGGAATTGCAAATCGAGGCCAGCTCTCTGGACAGAAAAGCATCGGTCAAAGTCAGGGGGGGGGGGGGGGCGACTGCGTACGGATAGCCCTGCCTGTTCTGCGCCTTGTTTTTTATTGGTGTCGGTGCTGCTGGTACAAAATCTATTACCGCTTACGCCTTCCGTTTTATCTCGTTGCATTGCTTGTCGTTTTCGGGCTCGTGTTCTCACGGTCTCGAATAGCTATCCGAGGTCATCCCCGAGCAATTTGCCATACCAACGAGCATTTCCATATGAGGACACAAACTTGCTGGGTTCTACCCTTACGCTGTTCTCGTATTTTTTCCTCCACTGCCTGTTTCCCATAGCACTGCAGCAAGCACTTTATCGCTTATTTCCCTCCACGAAAGCTAATTGAGTTTTCTGTACTTGTGTTGCCATTGTCGCTGGAGTACTTTTGCTAGCTTAAATGTACCTCGTGCTTTCTTTCTTCCCGAGGGGTAATCGTACCCCTAGAGGCAGTTTGCTTGAACTAGTCTATACTGCCACAGTACTAATGAAAGTTGGGTATGCACTATGCCTCCGCTAAACCGATAGGCGTCCCAAGCAGCTTTTTGGTATCGGCATAGCAACGATTCCACGAAGCTCAGAATGGCAACAGAGAAAATAAAAAGGCAGGCAGTACTAAATGCGTGTAACAATACCGTATGCGTGATTGAACTGCAGACAACGCGCTTATTTTTTTGCATTAGTGCTATTATTATTTGCGCCTGGTTGCGTCTGCCTTAGGTGGCGCTGTGTGTATATGACAATACAAGGCCCAATGATCTGTCATTGCATCTACATACACAAATGCCCCGTTGGGCCATTTAGCTCTGAGTGAGTTTAACTGTGCTAATACGATCGCGTTACGGCCCCCTTGAGATATGTGTAACATTTTGATCAACTACGACACCTCTTACCGCCTTACTTAAGCCTGTAGAGTCTCGAACTGCCTTCCAACGCGTGTCATCTGCCTACTGATCAACCATTTTGGCAACAGCTACTTTAAATAAATCCCTTGTGTTAATTTATTCGCCGTTATAATTATTCTATTCGGCGACGTAATCGTTCATTTTCCTTCGATTCTGTCAAACAAAGGAAAATAGGGGGCAAAGTTGGTCACGTCCAGTCTATAAACGTGAAGTCAACGAAGAGCAGATACTTACTACCACGATTTCATTCTTTTGCCTTCTATTTGTAATTTCATGAAAAGAACCCCACCAAAAGACAATTAATACGAACAACCATTAAAATGGCTATGTATTAAGGCTAAACAACATCACTGGATTCGCTAGTGATATTTTGAATCCTGAAACTAATTCGGTAGTCAATAATAAAATTAATCTTATATGCCGGCATATAGACTTGGCGATGATCGGTTACATTGCTCATGTCTAACTAGTAGTTTGCTCTGGCCTTTAAATAGGCTACAATATGAAAATAAGTGTTAAGGGTAAACACCACATAACGCGATGGTCAGTCTTCTAGCACTTGTACATGAAGCGATGTGCCCGTAAAGCTTTACTGTGTTTGTACTCCCGCTTTTTTGCAGACAGCGGAGGCTCTGCTGTATGACGCAGTCAGCTTGGTTGCAGCGGGCGTAGAGGCTCTCCTGGAGAAGGATAAAGAGGCCGCGAAGGATAACAAAGCCGCTAAAGGCAAGGACAACAGCAAGGACAAGGACTTAAGGGCGGGCCCGTTGGTCCTTTCGCAGCTTGACTGCAACCGGAGCGCGCACTGGGAGCACGGCAAAGCCCTGCTTGAGGCCATCAAAGGGGTAAGAAGGATCCGTAGCCCGACAAAATAATAGTAGCTATTGTGTCACTCTGCTGAGGTGGCGCGGCCAAGTGCGGCTCTGCTTGAGCGCTCAGGGGAGGCCAGAACAGCCAGAGGTCACTGGTATGCTTAATTTGTTAACGTAATTTCCTTTATTATTTATCGTACTATTACATAGCTTTCATTATGGTTTAGTAGTAGAATTACTGTTTATAAACAGCTCCTAAACTCAACAAGCGTTTTTGTCCTATTCCTCTTTTTGCCTAGAGACAGTTGTTTTTCCAGTCGGTGTTGGTAATGAAATATTTGTGGTACTCCGAGAAGTGTTATGGAGACCTGTTGTTTATGAAGAGTTACATTATATGAAGTATGTTTCTCAACGGCGTACATTGATATCTAAAATAAACGATGGTAACGCTTTATGATGATTGTTCCTCCAACAATCGTTGATGGCAATTCTTTTGCTAATAAAAAAAAAACAGCATGGGACTAATCACACGTATTACGACTGGCTCAGTACAACGGGAATATATAAAATTGGAAATTCGTAATTAACGTAAATTCAACTTGCGTAACAGGACCTCTGTAAAGCTCAAATGTTAACTTTTACCGTTTACATTTGAGTAGTTCCATTGCATATCATAGCAATGGAATGAAATCTATACTTTGTGCTTCGAGAAAAGATATGATTTAAAGGACTCTTTCGCAAACACATTAAATAAAGATAACTGAGTTATAAACCTTGTAAGTTGTTATTTTTAATTAATAGACTTTTTAGTAATTCGATTGTCTGCATAATGTGCACATTTGATTTCAGCTTTTTTGACACTGAACCCTTAAATTATAGACAGATTCGGTCAAATGAACTCGTTACTCTAGAGGTGTCTGTGTGATCCTGTCACTACTGAAGAATAGAGCCATCGTAGAACAAAAACAATCAGTATCTTCTCAGTGGGTAAATATACACGCACACCTCTTTGTGAAGACTTCTTGTCGTCTTATCTGCGGCTGTTCTGGCGCTAGTAGATAATAGCGTTTCTGAGGAGTCACTCAAGGCTCCCCTATCAAACAACATCCATACACTACGTCCGCTGGTGTTTTCATTATCGGTTTGTTCTACAAGAACTAAGGTCACTATACGCATCTGATATTTTGTATGTTCTTCCATCGAAGACTGTCGGTTGAGACGAGAGGCATATTACTATTCGAAACAAGTTACGTGCCTGGAAAGGTATGTTCAATTACGTGCGAATGGCTTTCCCGACATTAAAATTGATCGGTTGGAAAAAACCAATTACATAGTTATGCCTCGACAAAACTAAATTCTGCCCTTGCTAATATAACGACGTAGCACTAATATAATAATAAGAGAATGATGTAAGAAAATAAGTGATTGAACAACGTTACGTTAGTATGCCAAGGTTTTTGCCTAACATAAGTTGAGCAATGAGGAACTAATTATTAGTAAGCCGTTCATAAATTGTCTAACACACATGTTAATAGGTCAAAAATGTTTCACAGACGTGGAAGATAGATAATTTTCCATTGGGTTTATATATACGCTCCTTTGCAGAAAATAGTCTCTATGCAGCAAAATCGTATTGGACTTTTTCTTTAAGACATATACACGTGAAGACGACCCATAAGACAAACAATTTACTTGTAGCTGAGAAAATCATACATTTCAAGAAGCAGTATGCTGGAAATAGGGTATTTTTTAGTGGCCGCTGAAAGCACAGATAATTGCAATATCTGCAGTATAATTTTAGCGGCGAACAGTGCGGATTGTTTCGCTTAGGGCTTTGAATCTTTTATTTTTTTCAATATATACAATATTCTTTTAGCTCATACTTGAAATATTTAACCTTGTAATAACTAGTAATAATAGGTTGGTCTATCGTGCTCTGTTATAGACGACTGAGCAGAACACTTAAGGAAGAATTGAATTAACCATACCAGGAGGAATGTCCGGAAAAATAATTTCTAACTCGTGTGTATATATATTCTCTGAGCACTTGACACTCGAGTTTGCTGTACACAATTTAGGTTACATACTATAGTGGCTAAACTGTGTTGTAAATTAGATAGTCTTGCACATCAGGAAAAACATAGTTTCTTGTCGTTCGGCGACCCTTGGCCGGGAACGCCTCAGCATTTTCGACTCCAGGGTTTTTTTTTTTTGATACTAATGCGAGAGTGATGAAATGCGCGCACTCAGCGTCGTAGCCGCGAAACTCCCGTGGGCCCTCGTTACTATTCGGTAGCTTTTTCCTCTCATAAAAATCACTCCCTCTTCTAACCCGGATCTTTAACGGGGTGATCGCCGGGTGTGAATCGGGTGTTCGCCGATGAAATATCCAATGATAAGATCCAAGCTCGCAATTTATACCATACTGGCTTATGGTACCAGCCTCACAACTGCCTTAGTCGTCACTGAGATGACCTTTGTTAAACATGTTTGTCTTGAATGCATCTGGGTATTTATATGGTACGAATGATTTATAGTACCTGACTGTATACAGAATATCGAGATCCTATACTCTTCTTATCTATTCTAGGCGCGAATCCGGGGGCTGAGTGGGGACTTACGTTTGAACCGTCGCACTGGGACACGAGACGAGTTCGGCCTGGACGTCGTGGAGCTCAAATACACGGGGCTAAAAAAGATTGCTTCATGGAGCCCGCGAGAGGGTCTCAAGCTTAATGCTGCCAATCGCACTGAACAGGAAGCGGACCTCAGCCGAACGCTCGAAGGAATGACCTTGCGAGTTGTAACCGTGCTTGTAAGTGCAGCAATTTAACGCAATATTGTTGTTAAAAAATAAGTTGAGAAATATTTCTACACTTTTATTAAATCGACGAGTAGAATAAACTAAGAAATACTCAGTACTATTTCTAAAATATTAAGTTATATAATAAAATCGTAAAATGTATATATATATATATATATATATATATATATATATATAGTATTGCGTCTGTTTGTTTGTTTGCTTGCATTCTATCTCTCAAATTCGCATCGGTTTCGTTTAGTAATCTGAACAGGCTGATTTCTAATGATTTGTTTTTGAAGCAGTCCCTTTCTCCGATAGAGAGCGAAGCTAGTCATTTTTGGGATCTGTTCAACAACCGTTAAGATTTTCTGAAGTATTCATGCTAGAAAGTGTTTTTCAAGCACTCTAGCACGGGCACAACATTATTTTTACAAGTAGTTTCCGCTATTCGACATATTTCTATCATCCGGCAGTAAAATACTGATCGTCATTGAAATACTTCGTAATTGCTAAAATTGTTGAAATAGACAAATGCTTTGTTCCGAAGGACAGTTTCTTTCCCTTGTACGAAGGTGTAATTATACTGGTTGGTAGATAGTTGAAAGGGTTGATGAAAGCAAAACTGTTTTGCCATATATGGTTTATGTTCCTTGATAGAATGAATACTGTTTTCCGGAGAGATTTTTCTTTCTCGCATAGATAGAGTGCAATACAATTTCAACAAGTTCACTCTTTCTTTTCAACAACCATTGGCTAAATAGTGCTTCATCTAAGTATATATTGCTCGATTGTTTCATAGGAAAGGCTTCCTTTTTTCATAATGCCGTTTTTCATAAAAGCTGATTTATTTTTGGCAGTTTACTTGAAACCGTTAAGATGTCCTGAAAGGACCACATTAGAAAGGTGTTCGTTTCTCATGTTTTGAAAAACAGATTCAACGCTAAGTCTACGCCGGTCCTTCGGACACTTCCTTCCTTTATAGGAACCGTGATGCGCATTTGGTCAGTGAAATATATCTTAACTATACGGTCCATATCAGCAGGTTTATAGAAAACTTCTTAAAAGAAAAAGAAACGTTGTTAATATCATCATATAATTATAACGAATACGAAATTCAAATCAGGAACATTCTAGTGGAAGGTCAGGATGAATGAAGCTATAGACCGAATCAAAGGTAATAATAACGGGATGGAAGCAGCGGTTCTCAAGCATATCGGAATCGCAAAGATGTAGGTTTGTAATAATTTGTTAGGTTAGGTGTGAATCTGTATTGGGGCCTTAGGGACGTCCCATGATTTAGGTTTAAGCCTGAACATAGACACACTTCATTTCGTAGTGGGAACCAGCCATCTGATTGAATGTCTAACGGCGATACCGGACGGAAAACTCGAAGCCTTGAGAATTTTATTGTAAGACAACTAAAATTCATTCGTGTTAAATAAGCGAACGAAGTAACTTCAAAAGAGTGCGGGCAAGTTATCGCAATGTTATGATTGTTGCTATATGCTATGTTAAGTTAAGTAAAAGAATCAAAGTAATCAAGTCAAAGGTAGAAAAGCGGATTGGCGGCCCGAGAGTCTAGCTAATCGATATCAACAGGAAGTTGGTACTGATATATTTCAAACGCTCTGAATCACCGTGAGACTCTGATTTGTTAAATATAGAGTTTGACTAGATGCTATTCGGGCGTTAATATATGTGAAAATAATTAAACTAAATATGAAATTAAGCTTTCATATGATGTCTTCAATTTACTGGAGAATTAAGTTCTCCGAAATAAGTATACATCGACGCTGAGCGCGAAGGAGAAAGTTTTTTAAAAAGAAAATCTACTAGCAGAAATGACCCTTTACGGTCGTAGCTCTCACGAACCAAACATGACCTTGGCATAATAGTTCCTTTATATACTTCGCGCTTTATACTTGAGATTCGTATACCTGTTGCTATTTTCCTAAAATGGGTGCTAGTTTAGCGATAGATTACACTCCGATAAGAAATTGAAACACTGAACCCATACGATTCCTAGAAATGACCATCTGAATTCTCAAAGATTCAGAGAAGCTCTATGGGCATGGAAATGCCATCTTGAGTGCATGTTGGCTGTAGGATTTACCTTGAGTATGAAATCACGCCGTGTTCCAAAATCTTTGACAAAATGAATTGTGTTTTTCTAGCAGGAATATAACCAAGTGTATGAGAATAGGAGTATCTCGTAGCGTATAAGATTCTTACAATCTTCATGGAACATGATGAACTTTTCCAACTATGACGACAACGATGAACTTCATAGCTTTGAGAAAACATTCGTCCCACTGATGGCAGAACTTGAACTTAAAAAAAAAACTCCACAACTTACACGTATTAGTACCTAATACGTGTAAGTTATGCGTCATTAGTAACAAGTTTAATTTTACCGCTGAAAGCAATAATAATAAAATGTCTAAATTTAGTTATTTTACCTCACCTTCAGCTATTTTATGGTAGCGTCTCTAATGGCCACAGGCTGAACAGAGCAGAATCCTTCTGCTCCTGAACTGCATCTTCTCGATGGTCCTTTTGTTATACGATGCTATAAGTACAACTAGGGTTGGTTACCCCTGCTAGTTTGTTTTCTGCGTTAAGCTGCCACAGTAAACGTCTGAAATTTTCCTAGAAATAGATTAGTATCCGGCTGTTCAAAGAAGCTCTCTTAATAAACGTTTTCGGATTGGATATATTTATTAATAGATCTGAGGATGCAGAGAGAAATACATTTCTGTTTTCCTTTGCCGGTTTTCACAACAGCACGACAAACCCCGTTGTTTTTGTTGTTCGGTCTCATTTCGCAGAATGAACCATACACGATGTTACATCCGCCTTCGGAAAATCGTACTGGCAATGATCGGTTCTACGGCTATGCAATTGATCTTATCGCCGCACTGGCAAGCCTGTACAAATTTAACTACACGTTTTACATATCGCCAGATCGAAAGTACGGAAGTCGTCAACCAGACGGAAAATGGAACGGAATGGTCGGTGAACTCATTCAAAGGGTTAGTGATAATAAAGTGGTCACCTCTTGTAGTTAGTATCCAGCACGAGGCCAGGATAGTTTGTGTCCTTTTGAACGAAGACTATTGATTTTTTCTTTTATACGCGCATGCGCGTTGGTCCATTTCAGAAGAAAGCGATTATATGATATAATTTTACTGGGAATAATAATTATAATTAGCTTTTAGATGTGTACCTCTATGGGACAGTGAACACTGAAGGATACGGCTTTCTCAATAGACGGTAGTATTTCATTAAATTGGAGAGATCGACCATGTTATTTACACCATTTCTAGAAAAACACTGTTATTATCATGCATAGTAATGGCTAGCTGTCGTGCAATACGGTACATTTGTTTCAAAATGTGCCAGTATAAGTGTGTACGACGCTAAATTGCTAAACTTGTCATGATAAAAACATCATCAATGTAATACTATGAATTGTTTTGTCGTCTTTTGCTAATATATATGGCTAAGATATTTCTACATTTGCACGACATATTATTCTTCCTAACTTAATATATATAATATTCAATGCTGTTTTAAGTACATTCGGTAGATAGATATATGACAAATGGATGGGAATAGGGTTTCGATTTAGTGCGGGGAGGCAAATGGTCAGATGGCCAGCAAGCTAGCGGATAAAGGTTTTATAGGGTCGCAATTAATGCGTTAGGGATGAGGTCCGGCGTCCTTTTCTAGATATCGTTGTTAAAACTAAGAATGCGTTTTTGCTGGATGGTCTACTAAAAACTGATTATTTAACATATAATGAGTATATAACCGGCTCTGCATTTATTCGAAACGCATAGTCTAGATAGAGTGGAAGTGATCTCGACCATGTAGGAACGCCGCGGAGTTTTGAGCCTCAACTGGTCAATCTAGATCTAACGGAAAGTTTCAGCTTTACTTTTTTTGGCCAGAAGCGTTACGTGGATATTTCTGACGTGGAATGCATCCAGTCGTAAAAATCATTCCAAAATATATATACATTATTTATTAGGGTATGCCTGCCACATTGCAGTGTAAAGAGCGGAGTAGCTGAGCAACTTCTACCTTAACATAGGAAAAAAAAATCGTGTTTACCTAGTAGAGCCCTCGGTAGCCTAAAGGAGCCATATTTATTTAGAGTCGATCAATACAAACTTTAATTTAACGCACAGTGACGCCACATCTGCGGGTTTAACCCTTCTAATTACGATTACAGGTTCTGCAAGTCGAAACATCGCGTTGAAATATACCGTTCGCGAATTCGTAGTTGTAATGATATCAACCATTTTATTTTGCAGGTCATTTTAACGGTGGCTGCCTAACTTGGCTGACAAGTAAATGAGGATGTATTGAGAAAGTGCGTTGAAGCTTTGTATCAGTTATTGGGTCAATCCACATTTTTGTTGTTACCTGAGTTTGAGCATTGCACCTTTCGCCTTAGAAAACTGGCCTCTCCATATTTTTCCATCACGCCCTGATCACTGTCGGAATTTTCCTACCTAGTTAAACGCTGGTCGTCCTTTACCAGTCCGGCAAAATCTGGCTAAAGCATCTTCTGTAGCTGATAGGTAAATGCCGACAACAGACTGTTCGTTGTGGTTAAGCGGACGGTTCTAGACTTCTGGAAACGCAGTGGCGTTCCAAAGATAACCATATTCGTTTCTAAAAGAAAATTATATTGATTTTTGTTTATAAAAGGTTTTTTAAGTTTACGGAATTTTTCGCCGGTTGAGTAACGACCACTTTAAAGTTCGTGTGGGCTCGGATATCCAGATGAATCGCTTTGATATCGCCATTGGTTTTTTTCGATATGCGTGTCGTCAGCCCAAAGCGGCTTTTACGACCTAGGAAATATCGCGTATAAATTATATGCAAAATAGTAGTAAATCATGGATGAGTACTAAATTTCAATATATATGGTAACTGCGGTTGTGAGAAGTGAGTTGTGACGATGCAGTTACCTTGCCCGGCAAACACGGCTGCTAGCAGTACAAATATAGAGAGGCAGAGCTCTTCGGAACTGCGTACAGATAACTCAACAATATTTTCATTAAGACGCCATTTGCTTGAAGAGAAGCCGTTTCAATAGCTTTCGTTGTTAAACCAACGCCTGAAGTGGGTGTCAAACGTTACTCTGCTAATATACCTAATATCTGTTAAGTTATTATTGCAGGATGGGTTTTTCGAAACGGTTTTATCCTATAGTATCTAAAAGTGAAGTTTAGGAATATCCAGTACATTAAATACACTTACTGGCACTATGCACGGTACATACTTAAAAGTGAGCGTGGTTTACTGCGGCGGGCGGTAGGGAGCTTAGTCAATGGCTGTATTCCGTGCAAGCTACAGGCTTTAATCCTAATTCCTTTGATTCGATTTTATGTGCTAGACGATTTGGTCACAGACGTATATGCTTCTTCCTGCGGCTATTTCGTAAGTCATTTGCCACTGTTCGCAGAGAATAATTGACTTTTTGTCAATCGTCTTGCTATGAAACATGGTCGTTTTATAGCTGAATCTAAAAATCCGCGTTTAGGAATGAGCGTAAAATGACCACTCATGACAGGGAGCGACATCTTCTATGTGGTTTCTTACAAACTAAATAACACACTCTGAAGACAATGTAATCATTTTTATGTTTCTTATCTACGTAAACAATAGCGTACCATTTATTGTAAAACGCTTCCCAAAAAGAACATCGATTTTGCCATGCGTCCTGTGATGTAGATTACTTATCATACAAAGAGGCTGCTGATTGAATGGTATCTTTGTGTATATGATGGGCCGTTTCATTTATAACAGTTCTATTTATATTAACTTCCACTAAATATAAGAGGCATACCATGGTATAATAAATACGGAGCCCTTCAATTTTCCATTCAATCTAGATTATCTTAAAATTTTCTTGAAAGTTTTAAGATAATCGACTCGTGGATCACAGGGATGGACCATAGATTACAAACGTATTTCCCGTCATTTGTTGGAAAATCCAGTGTGTCGAAACATTTCTATCAAAATTCTACATAAATTCGAATAAAATAAAGAGTTCCACATAAATTTAATAAACAAATAGTTTCCCGTACACAAAGTTGACCGTTTGATTCTCCAGGACCTATCTGTTGATATAGTCAGACTGCTCCAATGAACGTGAGGCGTAATCCATTGTGTTCACCGAACATCCAACGATCAATGGCTACGCCATCTCTTGAAGGGGGCTTGAACGACAATAGGATAAATCATAGGCAAACAAAGCCAGAAAAACAAACTACCGCACCGAATTTCAGGCGTCTGCTGGAACTTGCCGTCTTAGGTACAGTTCTAAGTTAATATATCTAGCGCCACACATACGCAGCTGAACGTATTGGTCACATAGCTGACATGGACAAATTTATCGGAACGAACTTATTTCGAATACGTACTACTAGGAATCAGCTATGATCTTTCCATAATAATAATAATAATAAAATATCGTCTTTCGACAGTAGACCCTTAGCTATATATTCGGAATAAATTTTTTACCATTAAAACAAAATAGGAGTAACAATGATGAATGAATCATCACCTTGAACTTCGTTGCATTTACCTGAACTTTTTTTGGCTTTACTGTCATTTATTTACAGAAAGCGGACATTGCAGTTGTTGACCTAACGATCACATATGAACGTGAGCAGGTGGTAGACTTCACTATTCCGTTCATGAACACGGGAATATCAATCCTGTTTAAAAAGCCTGAAAAATCGGAACCGGCCATATTCTCATTTCTCTATCCGTTTTCGATCGTCGTATGGTTTTACACGCTCACCGTGTACACGTTCGTATCGATCCTCGTCTACGTGCTGGGCCGATTCACGCCGTATGAATGGGTGCCCTCACACCCTTGCGATCCCCAGTCGGAGCCGGAAAACCAGTTCAGCTCTCTGCAAAACGCGTTCTGGTTCACTATGGGTTCCATTATGCAGCAAGGCTCCGATCTGGTACCTAGGTAAGAAAAAGCAGCAAACATAAAGCGCATGGATCAAGACCATAATTACTTCTTTATAACCGTTGCTCTTTGACAGTACCAGGTTTTAGTAATAGGATCAGGTCCTCTGTAGTAGAAATTTTTCTAACGATTCTTAGACGTGGACCGCTTCCTAGATAGTTAATCATCTATAGACAAGTTTCGATGTATGAACCTTTGACCTATCTTCCAGTTAACCTTAAGGCAGAGAAAACAAATGATAGCTTTTAGTGCAACAGAATCGTTCGATTACGAATAAATTAAATCTTCCGAAACCACGAAAATAAATTAATCGTCTTTCACTTTTATTTCATTGGAAATAGAATATGAAGTTGTTCGTACTAACTGAAGTAACTATCCACTATAACTTCATAACAGTTTACCACATCTCTGTCTTAACCTTTACATTTCTCTTTATTTTAACAATATGGGTTATAACATGCACAGGGCCATCTCAACTCGTGTCCTGGCCTCGATCTGGTACTTCTTCACGTTGATCCTTATTTCATCGTATACAGCGAATCTCGCGGCTTTCCTAACAGCCGCCCGGATGGGAGCCCCCATTGAAAATGCCAACGATCTGGCCAAGCAGACTAAGATCGCCTACGGATGCCTTGGAGGAGGATCTACATATGGTTTCTTCAAGGTAAAAATGCCATACACGCATTATAGCTCAACAGCGGCCTACATTTACGGATTACTATGCTATAAACCTTGATTGATATTATGCTGAAAGCAATCTTTGCGAAATGACCCATTCGCAAACACGCTTCCACCTACATACGCACGAGCCGTGGTGTAATCTGTTTACCGGGCGATAGCCAGTAAGAGCTCATCGCACATACGAGTGATGGCTTATTTTAGTCTGGCTGCTGCTGCGTCCGTCACGCGTGCCGGTTTTTTCGTCATCATATGCAAATCGGAGTCCTAATACAGTGAGCGCGCACTGCCCAACAACACTTTTTGACCTCGTTGCTGTGTCTTATAGGCGCTCGTATGAAGAGAAGAGTTGCATTTGTTGTGGCAAATAACTGTCCACATAGGTAAATTAGCGTTAGCCCCAACCCAAAGCCTGAAGTGTTATGGAGGCTATTTTGTTTGGACCGAGGCCTTTAGTTCGCCAAGCTCACCGACTAACTCAACTTGTCTTCTGCGACTGTACTAAAGCAGCATGACGCTGGGGTCGATTAAGTGGCTAATGGTTTCTGTTGGTTATTTTCGAAATTATCGTACCATAAACCCAACGGCGCCTCCGGAGTCACTACAGAATTACGAAAATTGTCTTTCTATCGTTTTTTCTTATTTTTTTTTTTAGTCTTTCCAAAAATGCGACGATATCGACGAATAGTTGACGCTTCGTACGTTTCACTTTGCCCGAGCTCTTCCTTCCGTCGGCAAAGTTTTTTTATTGTAGAGTCACATGCTCATGAATGACTGTGCCCCAACGGCTACAATGGCAGGAACAGCAGCGGTGCCAGTATTATCATAAAAAGACTAGGCACCCATTTCTCTTTACTTAATATTGGTACGAACCGTTCATTTAACACCATATAACCTGTATTGCTAAATAAATACACCCACTGAGGAGCATCAAATTATACTTGCGTAAATGTATTATGAATTCCTAAATGCGGTTAAGTGGCTATATTTTTAAGAGAAACTTAATATATGTTTGGTTTATAACATCAGACGAGTCTTGGTGGTGATATTTCCATGGTAGTAGCAGTAGTAGTAGTAGTAACGCGTTTGCCTATTAGAATGTGATCTATCTGAGGAGTTCACTGACTTCGAGACCGGTGTAAACACACTTCGTTTTATGGTGGACAGAACGGCCGTCTGTGGCAATCTCTCTTTGAGGCAGTACCTGAAATAAACACATTTACTTATCTGATTTCTAAACAAAGGGATTAAACGTGTTCTTGTACGTTTCATTAGGCGTAATTCCACTTGTGAAAGTCTTCGCGCGGAACACTTCCGCATAGAGGCTAATGTTGCGGCTTGTGACGCCATTGTTGTTCAAGTTGTTTTATAACTCCATAGTTTAATTTGTTTGAAGATCTTTGTGTCTAAAAGTGTTGCGCACGACAACCTTGAGCAGAAACATAACGACCCGGTGATGAAGCGGATGTGGACGTACATGGAGACGGCACGACCGGCAGTGTTCACGTCGTCGAACAAGGAGGGTATAGAGAGGGTGCTGCGTGGGGACTACGCTTACTTGATGGAGGCTCTGTCAATCGAGTACCTCGTTGAAAGAAACTGCAACCTCACACAGATCGGAGGTCTGCTTGATAACAAAGGCTACGGTATCGCTACACCTTTGAGTACGTATGCGTATGTGGAACTTCTCAGTTTCAAGCAATGTAGTCGCTAAGCACCCCTCCATATCTACGACCAGGCATGAAAACTAGTGAACGTTATTATAGGAGCAAGATGACTGTAGTACAGGATTCGCCATTGACAAGTTTACTTTGGTCCTGCATGTTATTTGTTCCTTCGCTCGCCGCTGGAATGTGTTAACCTATTATTCAAGGTTTTTTGCTTTATTTTTAATGTCCGACGTCGACCCCAATGTATGATAGTGCCATACCTAAACCAGAGAAAAAATTAGATATAACTATAGCAGTGTACAATTCAGCTGTTTCGGATGTTACTGTGCCCACTGAGGCTTCATAACAATCTTTTGACGGTGTTCTTAGAGACTGCCAAATGCAGTGTGCAATACTGTTGAAATTTTGACGTAAATACTGCGTTTGACTCGATAAAATTTCAGAGTCCCCTCTACGCAGTGCTCTCACATCGGCAATTTTAATCCTTCAGGAAAAGGGAGTTCTGCATTCTTTAAAAATGAAATGGTGGAAGGTACGTACTATACAATTATGTACAGCTAAGATAACGTATTATAACGTAAGGCTCCATGTTATCGTTTGTACAGTGGTTTTCGCTATATCAATGCGTTGATAGGATTCTACTAAGTATAGCTTGTACCAGCAATGCGGCTTCATTGTTCCAGCAGAAAAGGGAACCGACGGAGTTGTTAGCAGGTTGCAGCGGGTTTGAAAAATGTTTAAATTCATTTAACTATATTATAAATTCGAATGCAGGTCTCCATATAAAAGATAAAGGCGCTTAAAAGTACAGGTACCCAACTGTTGTTACCTACGGACGCACCTTCTGTCGCGCTGTGCATTATAGGCGAAGCGCGTAGAAAGCAACTATCATATAACTAAGGCCTAAAAACGTGTATGGGTCGTTGAACATATTACGAAAACAAAAATTCAGAAGCCCAAATACATGCTCTGTTAAAGTGGGGTTATCGTGATATCTGTAACATGTTTTTCGCTGAATCGCTAACTAAATTGTACGTTTACTAGTAGATGTATACATCTATTTGAAGGGGATTCTCAATATCTAGAGAGTTAGCGTCTAAAAAATATGGAACTTCTTATATAGTTGTTACGTTTTTGGGCTGAAATGGTAAATTTTAGTTCAATATAAAGCAAAAGTGTTTAACTGCTAGCTAAATCACAAGCAGGCGACATTGCTAGTAACAATCTAGTTACTCCCGCCAATGATAAAAATATCGTTATTTCGAAACCCGTGTTTAGGAACTTCTTGTTCGAGAACGAACATCGTGTAGTATTTGTCGACACGGCTGTAAGAAAGTGGGCAGCAGGTGCATATTTTTCACGAATATGATCACAGGCCCACTTCCCTCAATGTACATTGTAGATCTCATAATCGCAAGCGCTGTACGATCAGAAACTCAACACTATGGTACACGAACGAAAACAACTATCAGAGATCGTTGTCCGTCAAATTGCTACTCTGCGAGAAAAAATTGCTTGCGTTTACTCAAGTCCAAGTGATCGAACTTTCGAAGTTCTGCTAAGGATCCGCACGGTACGTGTCCGCGGAGAGTATATGACTCACGAAACTTTTAGAAAACAATACAACTGATAACGTATGATCGTTGCCTGATTTATGTTGTGATACTGACAGATATCGAAACTTGTCAGTGCTTACGATCGACACTACGCAACAATAGCATCAATGTGAAATTGAAAAACCAGCGTTTTGACGATCTTCAGATACAGAAGAAATTGCATAAGATCAGGTTGGATTTTTATAAAATTATGTTTTTGTTACTTGGTGTCAACGGGCAGTGATGGGCCAGACCGGGGTTATCACTAGCGATTTATGTTGAGAGAAGTCTTTGTTGTAAGGTTATAGCTAATAGAATAATACATTGCGATTGGTAGTAATTCCTACTGAAACATGTCCTAGTTGCCATGATGTAAATACTACTATTTATATGAGCAGGTTTTGATTGATTTCATCCGGTGTTACTTTATTTTTTGCGGTTCCTGTTTGCCAGACTAAGGCAGTATTTGAGTAAACACAATACGAAAAATCTCGCAATATTTTCTAATAAAAACCTACCCTATCTGAGTCTGCTCTAACGATAGACGGGTATTTAACATTTGTCGTAACAGAATATAAAATATTATACTGGTTGAATAAATCCTGTTGTCAACAGTTTACGAGAACAGCTTATATATATATATATATATATATAAATGTATATATAAGAAAACGTATATATAAAAAAAAAGCACGTGACGACATAATTTGGTACTATTTTAGAATAAGCCACTTGATACTTGATACTTGACATACCATTATGATGATAACGATGATGATGATGAAATGCTTTATTACGCTATTATATACACGCTGGTGCATTCGTATTATTATCCGTTATTTCTAATTTGTTGATCGTTATTGTTTCAATCCTGATTTATTATTTATTACTCGCCGTTTTTTCGGCGTTCATCGTTAGCAACAAGGCGGACTGGTGAAGTGTGACGACGAGAAGGGCGCGTCGTCGACGAGCGAGATGGACATGGGCTCGGTGGGAGGCGTCTTCCTTACCCTCATCGTGGGTTGCACCGTCGGCGTAATCATCGTTGTCTGCGAGTTCTGCTGGAAGCGCGCCAAGCTGCCCTACGGCCAACGAGTAAGTAGTATAATGGAGCTTACCATGCAGTCGAGTTGCGTCGCGTAACAGCCAGCCCAGTTAAGCCTTACTTCCTCATCGGACCCCCCCCCCCCCCTCAATCCTGCTCCTAGCCTGATCTCTCTCGGGTAGATGGCAAAACGCTTTGCGGTGTTTCGTGATGGCCTACGTCAACTTGCAGTTTCCGCAATACCCAGGAAAAACGAAAGTGACGGCTGGCACGGAAACCAGGAGCGCAACAACGCTACGATGGTGACGGCATGGCAGATGAACAGACCCTTTGAACAAGAACCAGGTCAAACCAAGCAGAAGCAGCACACGGTTATCGACGGATAGCTGCCGTCTGTAATGCTCACGAAGGGACCAGTTCTAATGCTGATTACTTTCCTCTGCCGTTTGCTCGGTCTACGCCACTATGCAGTAAGCCAATGCTTTTTCTACATCTGCTCCAGCTTTCCTTCTTTCAGTAATTGCCATATCCCGACTACTGGAACCTTCGATTTCCTCTCGTCCTTTTATATTACTCTATGGGAGTATTTTCGGCTTTCGTTGAAAGCGTTTACACTTAGGTACGTACTGTTTCTTGATGCTTGCCAGACAATCATTGACGTCTTTGCCTCACGCCAGGCACCACCAGATTACCTTTTCTTGATTCCTTTGCCACGTTTGTGGCCTTAGATCAACGGCAAAGAGCACAGTGGGCTACGGCCTGCCAGTTAACCGGCTGGCCACAACCCCTTACTGCCATCTTTTCTAGGTTCCACTTCACTCTGAGCATTCTTACGCATGTTTCAGTGCCTCGTTACGTCTATAATCTGCTGTCCTGCATTCATAAGCAGCCATAGGCGAAACAGTAGGGAACGCAATAGACAGCAGCTGCACCCGCTACTCTACCCGTCGAAAACTCCGAAAAGCGACGCATCTTTCAGAGATTGTCACCTTAAGCTCCTCCTCGGTCCATCTATTCTCTAACGGACGCCGCATTTTACCGCTAAGACTACCACTGTCGCGTTCCATAGTTGCCACGCACATCTATTAGGTTCAGTCTACCGCAAACACGCCTCAGCAATAGAGTACAGGAGCATTTGTGAAGGGGATCTACTTTTTCTCGACCGTTGAGCAACCTTCTACACATATACGTCTTCGGCTTTCGAAGCGACCACAGCCCTTTTTTACGTGTAGTGAAGTCAGCTAAGGGTGATGCTTGTAAGGTGAATGCACAAATATTCGCTATAGGCTTAAGTGGAAGGAACGCGATTCGTGATGGCCACATTTATACCGTGACAAGTATTATACAGCTATGATCGAATCTATGAAAACAATCGAATTGAATGATGAACAACAATGTTCTTTTGTCAAGTAGCTATTCTCGCCCTATGAGCAAGTCGCAGAAAACCAATATAGCTTTCAGCCATCAGAGCACCGATTTAAGGGTCAGCAGAAGGCTTTAAGCGGTTAGTTGAGTACGGTTTAGGCCTGCCGATGATCAAGGAGTGCCACAAAGGTGGTCATCAATCACCGTAATTGAGCTGAGTAACCAACACCGAAAGGAGAAAGCTAGAAACGAAGGACTGTGATAGCATAATTGAACTATAAGGCGCTTGATAACATCGTTTAATTCACGAACATTAAAGTACGTAAAAAGCACGATCGCGAAATAATGATAAAAAAATTGATCTCCATTTCATTAAGGCGTTTACTACGCATAAATCTGCTCTATCTAAGCCAGTTATGGAAGGCTACGGAGGCGGCCATATAGCAGCGGGACTAACAACTGCAAGGGTCTTCCACGTTTCACAAGGAAAGCTGTGTTATTGAATTAGATGCAATTTTTCTTTGCAAACATAATAAAACCGGTCTTATATCATATTTTCTCGTTCTTATAGGCGTTTGTTTTATTACAGGGACATATTTTGTGCGAATTCTTCAAAGAGATGCGGCACGTCCTCGCATGTCAGGGCTCGAGACCAAACTTTGATTCAAGGTAATAAAAAGCTCCGCAAATACTAGTGCCTACCTTAACACTTTTATTTAGATGATCATCGTAGCCTTTGTTATCGCCTTTTCCTACCATGAGACTCTTTCTGGGCGTAACAGATTATTCGTAGGACGTAATCGTTAAGTTACATCCCAATGTAAAACAATTAGAACTAGAATTTTATCTAAGAAGTACCGAGTTTGCACTGGTTTGTCACAGGCAAACACACTTCCACTGTCCCAAATGAGTCCTACTCCCAAACAAGTTCCACAAAATCAAAACGTTAATACTGAAGCTTAATTATATATATATATGTACGACGTTGTTACAAAACCCCAGTTTTGGATATTTTTTTCTTCATGTAGGCAGAAGTGGACAGTGTATTCCATTTAGTTTGTTGATTAACAAAAATTACGTACTGTAGATAAAACAACTAGGCCAATTAACTTTGCTCAGTGACGGTCTAAACTAATTATGTATGTCACTGTAGTGAAAAGCTGTTTGGGAATTGGGAGATTATAGTGTTGTCATTTGGCGTTTTCGCATTCGTTTCGCGGTTAGAGAGGACATGGACGATCAGACACAGGATATGGACGGTGCCGTAGGGACAGGCGCAGCTGGTGCTTTACACGACGAGGCTGATGCTCCTGGCGTAGCATTGGCAGATTCGCTCCATCTTCATCAGCTGCAACGGCAAATAGCCAATCTCAACAGCATGAGCAGCGGTGAAAGCGGCGTGGTCGCTAAGACCAAGATAGCCCGTCCAGCTACCCTACAGGATATACGCGAGCTTCGCTTGCATGACCTACAGTATCATCAGCAATTTCGACAGAAGCAACAGCACCAGCAATATAATGGTAACTCGCACGGCAGCGGCGATCCACAGAGCGGAAGCAAGGCGCACATTGGGTCGGGCTCTTTCTCTCGACAGACCTCCGCCAGCCACCTCAGTAGGACCGGCACTCTGCAGTCCAGGTATACAGAATACGATTGTATAGCCATAACTTGATGCAGACAACAGGTTAGGAAAAAGACAGGCCCAAGGCGACTTCAAAGTGCAGCGCCTATAAGGCAGTGGTGGAAACTGGCTGACTCCGTACAACTGTACGGCCTCATACACCTCACGGCGTCCATTGCGAGCATGCTTTGTTTGCACTCAGTTAATATCCGTACTAATTCTGTTAGAATAGATAACTGAAAGTAGTAGGAAAAATAACAATCAAAGCAGGTTGTGTTAGAATGTTTGTATCGTCTTACCATCGATACTTTCTGCTGTTCGGTATTTTCAGACACTCGAACCACTCGGTAAGGTCGAGTCATACGACAGACTCAGTTCATTCAATGCCTTCTGTACATTCGAATCATTGGGGAGTTTATGAAAATTGAAGGGTAACTACAAGTGAAACCTTGTGTTCAGGCTGTTTTCTTGCTCCATCATAACAGGGACGTCGAGCGTGTATGGGAAGAAAGACATCGATTATGAACATAGATAAAGATACGTATGTACATTCACACGCAAAGCTTACGTAGGGAACAATATACGACAAGGTTCAAGTGAGAGGTGACCAAAATTTCGAGCAGATCTGGACCGCGGTGGAAGCTCTCCACCAGCATCAACGTAACTCTGCAGTCAATCACTAATGCCAATGATGCTCAACTAGTTGAGAATCGACAGTTTACTCTGCCGTATATCTTTACAATGTGACAAGCAATTTTTCGACGACAATTATTCTAGCGGCACTCGCCGTATAGCGCCTGTTCTATTTTACTAACACTCGACTATTTCAAGTAATGCAAGATAAGTCAAAACAACTCTATATTGTCCATCTTTTACTGTACCGTGCCCGCATGCGAGAACACTTATTGCCATATGTGAGCCGGTATATGAATCAACGAACGAAATCTGGACATTTTGTGAAAATGATGCCAAACCACAACTAAACTCCGTCGATGCCCGCCTTTAGGCGAGTCGCTCCTCTCCGGAGGATGGCCTTTGCCTCTTTTACACCTCTTCTTTCTACGACTACCACTACATCTAACCGTATTCTAGCAATCGATATCGCTACTTGTTTTCCGCATAGAATACACGCACACACACACGCACGCACGCGCACACACACACACACACACACACACACGCACGCACGCACGCCTGCACGCACACACTCGAGATGTCAATAAATCTCCAGGTCGATCCAGTAACATCTGGACTTAACGGTAAATAGGGAACGACAAAAAATACTCGACATCAAAAAGCAGCTTGATCTACTTTCTCATGCGAGATGGCGTTATTTGCGTTTGTTGTTCTTTTTCCGTTCTCGCAAAATTAAGCAGACGACAAGATATTTAATTTACGAAACAGGAGCGCATACAGACATCATTTGTAACGAACTATAGTTAAAGATGTCATCGATCGATTCGTATCAATCCAAGGTCGTGGTTTTCTAAACGCTTCAACTATACATCGTTTCTACGAGATCTTTTAAAGGATGCAACAGTCTTCTCTTTACACAAGTATAAACTATACATATATATATATATACGCGTACACGCCCGTGACGTCCGCGGAACTGTTAGGCCTTTGCTAAAAGACAAGTCAGACCAGCCAACAATGCTCCTGTGGGCAAGTGGGGACCGGTAGCGAGCCTCGTTGTCTTTAATTATTATAAAAACGACTCATTAACACGGATTATCTTAAAGGTACGTAGTATTTGTTTAATATTCTTTTGTTTTTTAATAACCAGATTTAGATGCTTGTTTCCAGTCTGAAATTTTTTCTCCGCAACAAGGATGACTCTCCGTATTATTCCTATAGTAAAATAATTAAATAGAGCAACAGACGAATTATCTATACATACATACTTTTTATTTAAAAAGTTCGAGATAACCTTAAGGTAGCAAGAGATATAAACAGTGACACATTTGTTAATAGGGGCATTAGTATTAGGGTGCCTCTGCCCTTTATTGCTGCTCTAAGAGATATGAGATGTTTAGTACTTCCAGAGATCGCATCATTTTTTGGTTGGCAGTCATTACACAGGTGTTGTATATATATATATCTTCGATTAAACTTTACTGATACTCCTTTATGAAGTCAATATGAAACAAAGTAGAAAATTGAAACCCTTACTCGATCCATAAAAAGATGGGCGCTGACGCTTATATCTCGTATTCTGATATGCTACAATGAACATGGTTTGCCAACATCACTTGGACGAACTGGCCGAAGGTATGCCATTAAGCTTCTGGGCAACAATAAATTGGTCTACTATAAATAGATATATGAATCAAGTGTTATCTGCCCGTAGACCTGGACCAGCTCTTCGTGCGAGATATATGACTCGATAAATGGTGAAGCTCAATAACGTAATATCATCTATTTTCGTTGGTGTCTACCAGTAACAACGCCTGCGAGAGTAATAATCCTTTTCTCTCTTATTGAGTCACAACGGTGATTGCAGTTATTGTACATCGACCATACTGAGCCACCATTACGAGCTTAGTTTGCTGGGCTACATCGCAAACAAACCTTACCAAACCAGCCCCTTTTCGGGTTGCGCTGATATATGCACCCATGATCCACCGTCGTCCTTCTCACAATATCTTCGTGTTTAGCCCTCTTGGCGTTCTATTTATCGATCGATCAATCAATCAATCCGCTATTAGTTATACTCCATGGTACAATATTACCGCCTCACACATCAAGGCTTACGGTGACTACCGCTTGTCTGTCGCGAGGGACGGTTGACAACGCTTAAGATATCATTATATAACAACAACAACAACAACAGTATATATGGCAGAACAACACGCAAAATGGTAACAGACGACGACAGAGCAAAGGCGGACGCATGGACAGTGCAATATCAGATTTAAATAGGCGATTAGGGAAAAAAATGTGACTGTTGTGCAGCTGATCGACTTTTTCTGACAGGGAAGGTTAATGCTGTCATAAACAGCACATAAAAACAAACCAGCCAACTGAAACGTATAGAACTAGCAAATAATGCTCAAGCGCAGCAAGGATTAGATTCCCTGCATAGCTGCATGTAGTGCATGATGCTTACCTAATGCTCCAAGATAGACATTTACTGATACCAGCTATGGCTGAACAGCAAAACAGTGTAGATACACAAAGTATACGGCATGTAGTTGCAGGAATAGACCGAGTCACGTTGACTTATATAGACATAACTTACACTTATGTTCCAGTGTGCATATACTTCTATATATTGTTCGAGGCGAGAAAGAGAAGGAATGAGCAGAAAGGCCCATGGGCAACGCTACACACGAAGCGTAACCCAGTAACGCTACGGGCATTGCTCATTCGCTAGAATAAAACAAAGGATAGAATTTACTATAAACGCGGGGTGCAACTAAGGAGACATAAACGAACCAAGAGCGTAGGGGGAGGGGCATATAACAAGATCTTCAGTGTTCAAATAGGCTCTGCTTCGAAAACGATAAGAGTATAAAGGACAAACAGAATGCCATCAAAATTAAAAGGAGCCAAGATCGTAGCACCGAAAAATGTCGAATACGACCTTCATTTGCGGGTCTATCAACGCGACGTACCGCTAACGAGTACACATCGACAAAACAACAACAACAACAACAAAACATATGTTAAATATACTAAATAGTATAACAATGTCGTAATTGTTAGATACATTTGTAACTTATTTAACTTAGAGAAGTAGACATATGTTATATGTCTACCTTGTTATATAAGTGTTTATTGACAAACAAGGAAGTCTGTCACTTAGAAACACTGTGCATTGCTATGACATGGCGATGTTAAAAAATGATTAGCTTTTACGTACAAACATCTTATCAATCATCCATAACTTTCAAATACCGGCCAAACGAACACGAATCTGTTAAGAGTTTCTATGAAAAATCTGAGCTGAGAGCGTTTGCTTATTGGGTTTCGTCTTGCAGCGCCTTCGAACAATCGGAATAGGCAGGACCTACTTACTGCTCAATGAAATAATCAATCATCAATTAGGGAATGAATGAAACCCTTTTTTATAGTATCAGTTTTCGTGTTATCGTTACTACCTTTTTTTTATGATAATATTGTGGGTTATTAGAGTGATTCTTTCTATAATTAAAAGTGCATTATATACTTTTACTATGCATGAAGTATTATTATATATAAGCTTTATTATCGATGGTAAAGATAATATTATTATCTCAGCACTTCTATGATTGCAATTCATTTTGGTATTAAATATGAAATACTACTATAATAATAAATATGGCACATATTAAAAATTCGAAAGACCTATTATTTCGTACTCGATGGTCCATTTTTATATAATTAACTATTATTATTACTTAAATTTAATAAAAGTAATTCCCGCAGAAAAACGTTTTGCTTCGCCTGGTCACAAATCTAACCTATTTATATATTTAAAAGCCAGTTTTCAGCTTCAACCTTGAATCCGAAGTTGAAACCTTTCGATCTTTTTTTTTACGAACCCCTTCGAAATAAGTTACTTGACAAAAAAAAAATGTCATCCAAAACATATGTTATGAATACTGAGTGTAAGGGAGTAGTAGTGTTCTGAACATCCGGATACAAGGTAGTGTGATCATTGTCAGAGGATAGTATGACGTTTGTCAGCATATTTATATATATATATATATATGTATATATATATATATATATATGTATATATATATATGTATATATATATATATATATGTATTAGATACACGACATTATTATACGTCGTCAATAAGTTACGAGTACAGAGGTATTTATAAAACGTTCTATTACGGGTAGGGTGGCATACAAACCACGCCCATAAATTTTGGTAAGAGCATCCATTCTGGTAAACAAATGATATATTCTATTTATATACAAAATAATAAAGGCAGTAATGAATAAACAAATAATAAGGACAGTAATGAATAAACTAAAATAAAATAAAAGTTGTGCAGACAAATCGATAAAAGGACGCACATGCGACCTGACGGAAAATACAAGTACCCAATAGATGAGCTTAGTATTTACGAGTCAAGGTCATCTACTGGAACAAGGATTAATTATATATATATATATATATATATATAGGGCGTGTCTTTCACAATGATGATGCTAATGCTAATATTATAGATGATAATAAGGATAGCAATGAAGCAAACAGTTATATACTGTAATAAGCGGGCACACAAATAGGAATAGGTAGTAAGTATTTGACAGTAATTATCTATTTTTATCTAGGCCGATTAGATTAGCAAATACTACACATTAAATATCCAAGCGAAAATTTAAATAAAAAAGTTAACAATTACAGATCTTCTTATTATTTTATTACTACTATTATTAATACTAGTCTTATTATTTTAATAGTTTTTCTTTCAGTAATCTAGTATCCTACTGACAATTTTGGATCATGCACATGTTCAATTTCGAAATTGCTTTATTTACTAATAGGTAATTAAAATAAGACACGTTATGGCTCAAATGAGGAAAGTTGAGTTGTGCTTGGTAGTTGTCCAGTAGGCTTTTTCATCTCTATTCCACGTTTCTTCTAAGTAGTGGTAAATACTTATCTTAAGTAAACTTCATGGACATAAGATTTAGCCTTTTCACTGTTCCTTCTTTTCATCTTGCTTTATTCAGCACAGTGTGCTTTCACATCTCAGCAACGACTGAGTATCGATATCGAATGTTTTTAAAATTACCGCCATATAATTTTTTAAACGGTCGCACGAAACGTTATTTTGGCACAAATGTTCACTTGCTATCGACAACTGCAGCATCTGTTTATTGAAGGGCTTGTTCGTCACCGTCTGTACAAGGCTACGAAGTTAGATCTCTTTGACACCCCAGACCTCTGTTCCACGTATTTTAATTCGCTCACCTACCAAATACATAAGAACTTTGTTATACCACTAAATATTATAGCTTACTAAACCTCCGTATCTGAACAAATACAGAGTGTATAAATCTTTGGGGTACATAGAAAAATTTTAAGGCACCCTGAATCCCCTTGTACCTCTATTTCCTGGACTTTTAAAGGTCCTATTATCTTAAAATTACACCTGTCTTGTCTTTCGTTACCAACTGGCTGTGGAGTCTCAACGAAACAGTCGTGATTTACTGGAAATTTTGGCATACGCTTCCCTACGAATGGAAGGCATCGGAATGAACAGCTTGCTATATAAAGGGCAATATAGCGTGGTTTGCCAATGACCTAGCGTCTGAAAGGCGGTTATTATCCTGACATTACCTTGGATCAGATCAACATTGGTTACTTTTCTCTGCGCCACTTTTTGCTATTATATTGGCGCAGTTATTATACAACATTGTCCATCATTGTATTTATTAACCTATAATTTTTCGTTATGGCTGCGTTTGAGGTTCTCCCATATTTGCCAATCATATCGTTCCTGTCAAAAAACAAGTTTTTTTTGTATCTCTGCTACGATACAGTAGACTCCTATTATTGAATCATTCTCTATATCCTTAGATCATGTCATAAATATTTATTCATAAGAGGTTTATAGACGAGCGTTGATGCTCAAATCGTTTTAAATCGTTTGAGGCGTCAGTTGAAGTTCAACGAACCGTATCATAGGGAATCAACGATTATCTTTTCTTTTCCGAGCCAAAAATCATTACCAGAGTAGCCTAAAACGATGGAATTGTTTTGATGGAACTTCGGCGATCGACGGCCGGAACCGCATTAACAACCCTAAGTTAACACATCTTCTGCTAAGAGGAGCGATCGCTGTACTTCACCAACTTCATCAACGTAATTATTAAGAAAGGTGATAATCATGCCGATGATGATAACGATAACTAGCGATAGTATAGACTCAAGTGAAACGGCCCAAAGTGGAAGAGAAGGAAGTGTTTTCTCTATATTATTGAACAAATTAATTCTAATATTGCCAGATTTTAACAACAATTTGTGTAGAATAGGTTGTCCGGAGCTATGTAGTTGGCCGGAAAATTTCATGATAGCGCAAATTGCCTCTAGAGAAAACCACAGGGTTTCCGTTTGTGCTGGATTCAACTTACGAAGCTAACTTTATTTTCCATTTTTTCACACGTACTCCGTGAAATCTTCTATTAAGCTGGCAATAACTACATGCTTTTACTGAAACAGACGTTCCCGATGCGTTGTTATGCTCAAAGCGTCAGCAGCTGACTCCACTGTTTATAATCCTGAGGTATCGACACCTTTTCTATGATTATCACCCTCCTAATTTCCGTACTTAAAATTACTGGGCCATTAATAAACATTGTTTTATTACAACCTTTAATAAATTCCCGCAACGCTCTACCTCACGAAAAACCATTAAAAAAAAAAAACTATCCAACGTTTTCAATACGCCTTTGTTTTTAAACTTCTTATAATAATAAACTTATAATTTTCCAATGGCACTCAATTAGCTCAAGTTTAGTTTGTCTCCTTCAAACTTCATTGAAAGTTTTTTGATCGAAATTTTAAGCAAGCTATTATTATATTGCGCCAACCGAAAGGTGTCTTGAACTTAGCATAAAGAAAAATCATAAATAAATAAAACCTTGGAATTTTCAGCGCATCTTTTTGTTAACATGCTTTTTTTCTTTCGAGGTCGCATGTAGCCTGTTCTTTGGAACCAGATCGATACATTAAAACTGGGCAACAATCTACAGTAATGCCCCTAATTCCTCTGCTTAAACGGCCAATTAACTGCATTGTTAACAGACAGTCGACGCGTCAAAATGGATTCAAGCGAAAAGTTGATAACCAGCATTATAATGAGGAATCGACTTTTCCTAGGAACACGCAGCCGATCTTCCTAGCATTCCGGCTAACCTTTAAGCCTAACATATGGACATTCTTGATTTTGTGCAGTCTTGATTCAAGCCTGTGTTTTGGTCATTCAAAATCTAGGTATTTGAAAAGGTAATATAAGGGAACCTCTATCGGATCTAAACTAAATTCAAATCTTTACGCTGCATTTATAGTTTGAGTTTTCAATGTCGGGCATGCGCAACGATTTAAAATGGATTGATCAGCCATTTATTTTGTCCTTGTAACAGGCATGGAAATTTTCAAAAATATAATGCAATATAAAAATAACTTCTTTTATCTACACATATTGAATAGTGATAGATAATGAGAAACACGTGTTTTGGGATTTATTTTAGCAAAGAGATAACCAATGACCAATTTTTGAGTGTAAACCATATCTTCTTCTAGAACCATGAAAAGCATTGTATTTTATGGTGTTCAAATGCTCAAACGAGAGCAATGTAGAAGGGAAATAGAACATTTCAAAAATGCCCTTACATTATATAAAGGACTAATTGTATGCTAAGTTTTACGTACCAAATGTTTTAGGTAACTCGAGCGTTGAAGCGTAGCTCCTTTCTCTGCATAATTGTAGGTTACCCTCAGCATTTACGCAAACCAAATTTCACAACTTTTGACTTGTCACATGATCTATATACTCCAGGCGCTGAAATACCGAAGTCCTTCAGGATGGCACAGAAACGGTGCCCTTTTTCATTAAAGCCAATGGACCCCGCGTCCTAAGCGAGACATCCAAAAAGGTAGAGAGAAAAACTGCACGTGCTGTGTTCAGTACCGTCTTCCTATTGATTAATCCGGTCCATGTTGCAGCACTAGAAGTTCACGCGCACATTTGTCATCGCTTTCGCGCAGTGCTTTATTACCGACAGGCCACAGCCACCGTAGCCATATTTAGCAACCTTACTTAGCAACCTTACCTTCTCTAGGCCCATAGGTCACCCTGAAGCGACTGGTGCAGTGCGCAGACGATGCTAAATTAGCTAAGTCTCTGGTCGCATTTCCTCGTTTCGAAGCCGATCGCCTCGGAGAGACTTCGTAGCGCATGACATATGGCAAATCTTGTTCAGATCGTTGTTTACATATATGCAAATAGACCTATGCTGCTAGTAGTATAATTAGAAATACGTGTACTTAAAATTAGTTAAATAACGAATTTCGACATAGACCATAGTACAATAATGTTTATCGTTCCTACGTGAACTACCGTTAGCCAAGGCTCTAACGCTGCAACGATTATTAACTACATACCGAGGGTGTTTTTCTCTAAGTGGCGATCCAACCTATAAGATCTTAATAGCCATATTTTCCCACCTCGCCGTCCTCTTTGCGTTGTCACTACCAGTGAAAGCTGGCTGAGACATGTTTTTGCAGCTATGAGCACTGGCACGTCTGCTAAGCGACTGTTCTGCCTCTATTGAAGAATAGAACCACTACACCCAATGTCCTTTGCAATTGTCGCCCAATGAGCTCTCTTTCCTGCGATAGAACACACACGCACACGCACACGCACACAAAAGCATACGCAACCCTTCAGTAACACGTATCTTCGAGTTCACCCTTCTGCCGTGTAGTATGAAACACTACCGGTGACACGCTTGCTCGTGCGAGTGTGAAAGTCGAAGTGCCATCATTTTTCATAATTCCTTTCATTATTTAATGAACAAAAAGAAGCACATCGCTTAAGTGACAACACGACACGGTTATATGTACATATAACCGTGTTGACGTCCGTTGTTGACCGTGCTGCCTAGCCAAATATTACATATGCATGCACACATTTGTATGGATTCCCCTAACACATCGACTATCGGTTCGAGCACGATGGAACGATCGGACGCTGAAATAATGAAGATACTTCAATGGGATCCAAAGAGTTGAAGCAGACCACACCAGAACCACCATTAAAGCCTTTCCAAGCATGTACATATACATATACAGGGAACATTTCTGGCCTGTACTGCACATTCCACCGCTATTGGTCCTACCGCAAAATTCGACGGACTTCAGGTTGAAATAGAGATACTTTTTACAATGAATCGACGACTAAATTGGAGAGCTGGTTAAATGTCCGTAGCCAATCGTCTGCTCACGATAATGTAATCGCGTTGCATCCCCGGAACTGAATGGGCATTCGGGAAGAGGTGCTTTCAATCTTCTCATTGATAAGCACTGATCGATGTTTTTCGACTCTTCTTACTTGAACACAACAGGTCCCTTCGTGTATCGCCGGCACCATTTGAAATTGTACTTGAGTAAAGCTGTAAGACATCTCGGCCACTTGTAGGACCGCCGATTCAAGAAGTATATATATATATATGTGTGTGTGTGTAAATAATGCCAAGCACCTACAGAATTGGTTACTGGCTGCTGCGTTTACGTACGACAATGTATGTCACGGCGGGCAACACGCCGAAAAACAAACGTTAACATATCATGGCTCTAATTTGGTATAGATGTAACAGGCTGATTAATGGAAACAATGTCTAAAATAGACATGAATTTTCATGAAATGTCGACACGATAAATAGTGAATGATCTAGAGCAACATAAGTACTTCAGTCCAGCCCAGTTCGGCGATATTATAATTAACAGCCGAACTAACTTCGATAGAATGGTGAACCATAAATATTACATTATGATTATACGTCGCTAGGCCTATAATATTTTTAAGGAAACCCTCACCTTAAAGCAACTTGGCCATTTGGACATAGCCTGAAACAAAATCCTTCACTGTACCGTGCCTAATTAGCATAGCTAAAGATGATATCATGTCCTTCATATCATCAAAGAGCTAACGTTAATGTCTGTAGTTTGCCTAAATGTCTGACACAGCTGTAAACGAACTAACCCTGTATGATACATACTCGCCAATAGACCTGAACGAACCACCGGCGCTAATTATTTATCTCGTAGCAGTACGAGTTTTTTTTAAACTCTCATTATATATCACGAATTGTTGAGTCTTAGTTCTTTGGCGCTAAATTGTGTTTTGTCTGTCTTTGCTTTTTGTCTAGGGTTTTTTTTTTGCTGATGGGTGGTTTTTAAAAAGCAAAATATCAACATTTTTTCTATTTCACAAGTACTTTTACAGAATACATTTTATCCCTTGTATGGCGGTATGTATTTTTCAAATGTACGTTTACTCTCAGCGTCTTCGAAATCAGCTATAATTTTCCTTTGCCGATCGTTTAGTCAAGGTGGATTTTAATTATTAGATTCAGCGTTCCTTGTTGTAGAGCTTGCTCACGTGATATCTTGTGTGAGATATAGAAGCGAAAGGTTTACAAATCCAGGTAATTACATAAATCGATAATGTCATTATCCTATATGTCGTTAGCAATCTAAATGAACACTTCAATAGTTTATATGTATCAAATGCATCGAGCGCTAGGTATCATCTCAAACGGAACATTCTGGATTTGGATACTTCTCTAACAGTAATCATTTGACAATGCTGAAATCCGGATTAGCAATGGCCGCGTGCTTATGTCTGCCATGGCACTTTGAGAGACGCGCATTAACCACCTAAACTACGCCGCCTTCCATGGCTACCTGAGCAAGTATTTTCCTTAAAGTCAGCCAGCTTATCTAGTAAACTGGCGCTGAGCAAGGCACTTCTTCCATCAAGTAAAATTGATTTGTAGCATGTTTCGCCAAAGGTGAAGTTGAAGCTCAGAATTCTCTCCCCTGACTATGGTAGACGTTTGGAAATCGAAATGGGCATAGGAAAACAACACCCAATAAGATAAATATATTACGGCGTATAGTGAATAAATCTATGTCGTTACGGGCGTATATTGGTAAACTACCGCCGTGGTGAGTAAAGCGCTAACGGCAACGCGAGGTCTTGAATACAATCCCTAGTTGCGTTTCAGTGTTTTTTTCCATAATATATTCAAATTCTGGGTCGCAATTCCCCGCGCGCTTACGTCTGACCATTTTAAGCATCATTGTACCGGACGGAAGTAGTTGTCATTGTGCCACAGGCTTTTTTTGTCTTACAAGCAAATCAAAAGTACTGATGCGTGCGTGTTATAGTTCAGAAATAATTTTTACTCTCTTTGGCCGGTGGAAACAGAAAATGGACTACTGAAACAGTAGACTGCTTTTCTACGTTAAACTATGAGCAGTTTAGTTGGGGTTTTCGCGCTTATTTTGTCCGTTCAGACAATACCTATACTATAAACATGACTACGCTTTTTGCTCGTTTTCTACTACAAGGACGATTTGGGTAGGCTGGAGCAGGATATCAATGCGTGGGCACCGGAAAAGAGGTTCATTTGCAATGGGGGCGATCGGAACCCGGGTCGGCAGTTGTAGGGACAACTAAAATATTAAAGGGAGGAAAGAGTCGCTTGTCCTCTTTCTACAGCTGCTTCTGCCACTGAAAAGGCGAACTTAAACACGAACACCATCTCCGGACCAACCCATCCACTGGCCGTCCATCCCATCGCCAAACACGTCTTGGTTCGGTTCCTGCAAAAGAAACAGCGGATAGTGCAGCTTCAGTACGTGTTAAAACGCAGGTGTCAACTCTCCACTTATAACAGGTTCTTTCCTAGCCCGCACTACTCCTGCGGCTGCGGCTGCAGCTGCTGCTGTTACACCCCATCTTCTAGCCGCCGTGTCACTTTTTTCTCCTTTTGGCCTGTTTTTTTCTTTCTGCTTCCTTTTTCAGTTGCAGCATTCCTTTTTCGTCGCAAAGTTTACGCCTTCGTCCATTCACTATCAGCTTCTCTTGTTCTACGGTGTAGCAATCGCTGCCAAGCGGACGTGACTTCCATACCGGTTGCACACGTAAGGGAACAGCTGAAAAGCACAAGCGGCAGTGGCGCAACTGCAACGTGCGCGCTAGCGATCCGATCGTATCAAACGAATTCCCTTTCATGAAAAATATCCAAAGGAAGACGGAACGACAGAAGTGGCTGCCGGTCATTGGCAGCATTGGACTTCCTCGTAGAGACGATCTAGGACCATCACAGAGACTCAGACGCAGACACATGGGCCTGCGTTACCCTCTTTCTCACTCTGCCTAGACGCTAGATGAGCCCCCCCCCCCCCTCTTTTTTGTCGGCTTGTCCTCTTAGAAGAGTATCTTCTTCACGGGCCTGTTTTTGCGGGCGGGTTCCACCCTCGACGCTTGGATTTTTATCGACTTGCTACCCGCTTTTGTCGATGCGATGGCTAGTAAAATGCGAACAACAGTAGTACGGAGCATTGCCGCCTCGGCTCAAGTTCACTACTGCAGTTATGATAGTGTCGATCAGGTGAGCAGCAATGGTTGCTGGCGGGTAATAGGTAATTGCCCACGTCCAGTGGCTCATAGTTTTTCAATCTATTTCTAATCCTACGTAACCCTATCCCAAATTCTCTGAAATAACTGCTGAAATGGTTGCTCGCACTAGTCTCACTCAGAAAGCCAACACATCGGCCAGTTTGCTGTCTCCACCGGCTAACAGGTCTGGGTTCCTAGCTTATACATATTGAATCTCTTCCTATTCTCATTGCTTTTTCTTCCTACATCTTGTGAGGAATTTGAATATGGTGGTAATTGTGATGGGACAAAGGCCTATCGTGTATTTTAACGCCCAATATAATGATCCAACCATATGGTTAAGAAATTGACAGTTTTTTTTAGATGTATGGTCAAAACATCGCTAATTCAAGTTAAAGTTAAAGTGTAACGTGTAACGCGCCTGTCCTGCGCCAAAAAAAATGCTTTTAAGAAATTTGAAATCAATTTTTGCAAAACACCTGTCAGTACCAACAGATACGTTTATAGAAATTTGCTATTTTTTTTTTCAAGATGTCCTAAATCAAATGTGACTGATGTGTAACAGATTCTGCTTCACGTAAAATGAGCGTGTCGATTTCAGATTTTTTAAAAAGTCTATATTAACCCATCCGACCAGATAGGTCTCATTCTAAAGTCTTCCGGGGTGAAGTTGTGCACGCCTCTAATGAGGTTAGAATAGTTCTACAATATATCATTTAAGTATATACTATAAACTACTACTTTCGCGCTTGCTTGATTTTTTTTATGTCAACAAAATTCAGAATACGTAATTTGCTTTATAAAGAAATATAATATCGCCCTAGGGACCACTTGTAGAACTCAATCTGTTCCGCACTAATTTGCATTACACGCGTGAATAATTCAATACCAACTTCATCGATCACTTCACGAATACGGTATTTAAGAATATGGATTATTTTCGGTGTTATTTTATAAACACTGCCCCTGACATAGCCTAACAGGTAAAAATCGAAACAAGTCAAGTTGTATGATTGGGGACGCTACTCGATACTATCGCCGCGGAATGAGATCAGCCGGCTTGGAAACATTGTTCCAGGCAGCTGGACCCGGTGCGGCAGAAGGCCGCGCCTT